CTAAATTTTTATTAAAAAAAAGTTTCTAAACTATAATAATTTATGACTTAAAAGGAAATTTTGGTAACCCGAAAATTCAAAAAAATTTGAAACTTTACATAAATTTAATTCAATTGACGCTAATATCACAACAATTTTTTGTTTCGGTAATGAAACAATCCTGAGAGTGAAAACACCCCCTCAAAAAAATTGTGAGTTTGTTAAAGGGGTATTGTTATTTCCAGGACTGTTTCATTACCAAATGGTTTCGTAATTAGCGTCACTTAAACTACCTTTCTGCAGTGTCAAAATTTTTTGAATTTTTAGGTTAACGAACTTCCCTTGTTAGACATTTTCTAGCAAAACCTCTTTAATTGTTCAAAAAATGGTGCACTAGTCATATAAATGATCATAGACATCATAGATCCGTTTCTATTAGCTTTGCAGATAGTCTTAAAATATTAGTAGACTTTTATTTGAAAACATCAAACTTGTTTAACATCTTGTTATTGACGAAATAAAGTTTGGAAACTTAAAAAGGAGTTATAAAAATCTACTTACACTTCCTTTAAGACACTGTTACTCATTTTTGTATATTATTAAAAAATTTAATGACACTACAAAACTCAAAAACTGATTTATATTCACATATTTAATTTTTAAGTTGGGTTAGTTAGCTATGCACGTGCATATATTCACTAAACATAAATAAGTACGCTATTCGCTGATAATCAGCCAATCACGATAGAGGAAAGCTATTGCACTACTCTCTTACAACGATAGTCACAATGAAGCTTCACGTGAGCAGCCGGTAACAGATGAGCCACGTACCGAATGAATTTCAGTTTAAACAATGAATTCTTTGCAAAAGGAAAAGGACGTGGTATCACAGACGAGATGCAGTAGACCATTCGTTGTGTATTTTTTTGTCACACGACCCTAGTGTTCGGGAACCTCGTTACCATCATCCTTCTGTATCGACTGGGACTGGTATTGTATCACTGCGCTATTAGTGGTAGGAATTGAAATCAAGAACACTTGGTATTTGTTATTTTAAATAATGAAGAAGACAAAATTTCGATTCTTAAGATGAATCAGAATGGATTCAATTACACACATTTGCGTTTCGGAATCCAATGGTATATTGACAACACAGTAATAATGTACACACGACCAATATCGATCATTTTGCACGATGCAGTTCTTAAAATGACCGTGTTTAAGCATAGAGGGCGCTTCAAAACCAATAGTTCTAGACGACTTCGGTATTTCAGATCGTGTGACAAAAGTTCCGTAAGATGATTAGTTGTCTGTGCATTTATGTAAGTATTTACATCAAGGAAATTTCATAAGCAGGCAGTTAGAATCGTAGAGCAGTGGGGATGCTGCGCACGCCTGCCTGTTTTCCGTTTATTTGCACAGGCATGCGCATTAGCCTTCAAGTTTGCGTAGTTACATGTAAATACAGACTACGCGCGCGTGCATTTACTGTTGTCATTTTCATATTTTTGTTTTTGAACAGTTATCGAAGCTGTGTTTTACAAATATGTACTACTAAATAGAAATGTTTTTATATACATACAGTGGTCAATTGTAGCATAAAAATTTTAATTAAAAATTTTCAAAAGTAGCTTGCTAGACATTCGTATTAGAAACTCAATCGCTTTAATAATGAGGGTCTTTCACCTTTTTTCTGTGTAAATATGAATATTGCTATACAGTTTGCAAGTTGAATGGTGTAGTTCACGACTGTACAGCTACTCTCGCGATAGTACTCTCAGAGGAACGAAATTGGTTTGTATTTTGGAAGCAACTCTCTGATAGCAATATTAGAAACCCATCAGATTTCTTTATAGCCAAAACATCTAGGAAGGGTATTTTGTTGTTAATCTCAATTTCTATAGTGAATTGTATATTAGATTGGAAGAAGTTGATGAAGCTGAAAAAGTTTTTGAGTTCTCTCAATAACTATTAAAATTTGAAATTAAAGTTCTTTCTGATTGGTAAACAGTGAACTGGGATATAAACCTATGAATTGGAACATGAGCAGTTAAATAATCTTTTCTTTTGAACCTTGATGAAGTGAGCTGCAGTGCTTATAAAATGTTGAGGTATTTCTTCAATAAGGACATGTGATAACTGTGTGATATCAGTCCATGAAAGCCTCAAATCTTTGATTTATAGAGGAAATATTAGGCATACCAATTAGGAAAAATTAGTATCAAATAAATTTGCATCAATTTTTATTTCAAGGTGTAAGAGTAGTTACACCCATTTTCAACACATAAAGATCAGTATAATAATTACTTGGATTCAGAGACAGTTGTTCATTTAAAATGTATATATCAAGTAAACAAGATAAGTATGGACTGAAACTTGTTGCAATGTATGATTCAAAAACATGTTATATGTGTATGTGATTGTATATCTGAAACAAGATGAACAAAATTCAAGTTAATGTAATCCAACATATAATGTGCCTGTAATTAGTAGAACCCCTCTGTAACATGAATAGAAATGTTACAGTAGGTAATTGATTCTTATCATACATATATAAATTGACTATTTGCATTACCAAAAAAATTTGACACTTATAGAAACTCTATGAAAAAATAAATCTGATACTTCACAGTAAATTTTAGACAAGAGGCATAATTGTATTGTATGTATAGAAAATATAAGGCAGTCCAACCATGATTTAAATTATAATAGAGCCAAAAATTATCCATTTATACAGGGTGTTTCATGTAAAACAGGCCATCTAAATAATATCTTTTTTATCTATGATAATACAAGAAATGGCAAAAATGAAAGGAAATTTCACATTTGATTTAAAATTTTAAAGTCCAAGATCATTTCAAGGTTATACTATTATACACAGATGAATGCACAGTAATGTTAGTTAAAGTATACAGCAATAAAAATTATATGCATATACGTAAAAAAACATGGATGATCTTGAAAAAAATATTAAACAATTATATTTATAAACAAATTTTTCTTCCATCTAATTTGTTTCTTGAAATCATTTAAATTACATAAGAAATATTTCTTGTATTATCACAAATAGAGAAGATATTATTTAGGTGGCCTGGTTTATGCAAAACACCCTGTATAATGAAACCAACAAGGTGGTAGATACATTGGATAAACATTGTCACTTCAAAGCAATATCAAGAAAATGATTCCTTAGAATATTTTGTGAAACGTTGGAATGCCAAAAGATATGAAGCAAAGAATAATTGCAGCTTGTGCTACAATCAATCTGGAAATGATAACAAGTACAGGCTTCAGCAATCCGACGATTTCAATATTGCGCCGATGTAAACGGACACCACTTCGAACACCTCTTATGATGTAAGACTCGTTTCACTCCTTTGTTTATTATTGAATGACCTTGTATTAGAGGTCGTTGAAATCGTCTAAATATCCACTATTTTACTACCAGACTAAAAAAGTATAGCATGCTTTTAAAAAAAATGGAAGTGACCTTGAAATCTTCGCAAAGCCTCCATCCACATAAAAAATATTTACATCACATTATGTTCCTCTTCATATTATGCAAGTTTTGTATATAACATTTTTTTATATTATTAAAAATAACGGAAATATTCCTGGTGGACAAAATTTTTGCCCCACCCTGTGTATAATGATTTTAATAGCCATAAAAGCATGATGTAGAAAATCAAGATGTAGACTTACAATTAGAATTATATGATTTGCATCCAGATGCATTTTTTTTTTTTAAATAAGGAACGAAACAAGTAAAAATCTATACAAATTGTTACCCCTCAGGAAAATATCAAAAATTAAACAATTTTGTGTTAAAATAATTTTTAATGTTTATA